TAGAGTAAACACACATACACACACACACACACTGGACATCTGCCACTACACTCACACACACACACACACCATGCTGAAAGATCTCCAGCGCTGAATGCTTGCGTGTCCCACATGTCCTTGAGTTTAATACCAACCGGTTCAGACATTAACCAGGACCGGCGAGTGACACCAGCGACCCGCATATTTATAATGTGGCCGCTCAAATCATTTCCTCTGTCCTTTTAATCTGTTATCTAACATCTGATTTACTCTCATCTATTCTAGTTCAGTCTGGTGATGCGTTAGTGACCTCGCTCTTCCAGAGGTGAGTGTTGTTCAATGTCCCATGCAGCTAACCAGTAATGAAAACGTTTTTCTTTGAACATTCACCTGGTTTTTCATTGTTTAAGAAGCTTTTGTATCATTGCAAACATTATGAGAACGTTACTTTCGAAGGTTCTCTGATCATTCTGAAACAAGTAGCAACATTTAAAAAAATGTTAGACAAATGTCAAACCAGGAAAAAAAACTTTCCAAGAATGACGTAATAATACTGTTTTTTGTACTACCGTTTTAAAAACATTATTAAAGACTAGATAATGTTGAATGAACATATTAATATTACTGGAATAATGTTTTGATGATGGAACTAACATGCAGTGGATGTTAATGGAAAAAGTAATAAAACCCTGATTGTGATCAACTCTAAAACCTGAAACAGCGACTATATTAAAATCTACAATGACATTAAACAGAACAATCAAACACAGTGACGTTTATAACATATATTATAGCAGACTGATATCTTGTGTATCTTGAGCTACTTCTGTTTGTTTATTTGTTTTCATTTCAGACATAATTGTTCATATTGAAAATGTAATTAAATTAATTGTTTTATTTGAGGTGTTTGATGCAATTGCAAGACAAACAGTGCAATTACATAAGAAATATACTCTCATCAGGGTAAAAATGCCTGAATTTTGATACTGAAGCAATGAGGAATTAGTAATAGTTCCTTGATACAGTTACATTCAATCTATATACATTTTGTTCAGTTCATGCATTCCCTTAATGTTGCCATGCTCTATTACTTGGGCGATGTATTTTTCTGGTATAATGCAAGAAAGCTTCACCCCAGTGTCCGGCCTGCTGTCGTGTGCAAGATACCATATCACAAAAGCACATGGTGCAGATCATCATGTTATCAGGGTGGTGTAGACTAGTGATGGCTTTAGGTTCAAACCTCTCCAGTGCATTGAGTAAAACACCTCCATTACTCCAGGAAGAGGGTTATTCTTGCAGCTCAAATACTAAAGCATAGGTTCGATTCCCCGGGGAAGCATGAACTGATCACGTGTACATTGAATGCAATGCATTTTGGATGAAAGCATGAGTCCTACTTTTCTCCTGTTGTCTCTATTCTTAGACAAAGATGTGTTTATCTGACCAGAAATCTCAGTTTGCACATGAAAAATTTCCAGCTGAGGAACGATACTTTGACATTGACTGCCAATCAGAATCCGTCCTGGTTTAAAGAGCTTGATTACAAAACTGCAGTGCACTTAGAATAAACAGAGAGTTATCATGCATCGGTGTGGTAGTTATCATTCTTAGTGACATTGAACGTGCCTTGACAGTCCAACCGCAACCGTCAGGGTGCATGCACAAACTGCTACAGGTTTGGTAAATGATTGCAGAATTCAGGTGTTTGTTGCGTGTCTGTGTCGAGATCGGCATTAGATCACCTGACAGTGGTTATATTCGGCACATGTGAGAAGAATGCTGGAAAAAAACAGCTTGATCTGTTCAAATAGCCCATCATCACCTTCTCCTCTAATGCCAGCGTGCCCTCAGCGCATTTGAGTAAATGTCACTGTCACCATCATGATCACACGCATCTCATCAATGCTGCTCTGCCTCCAGCTCAACCAACCGGAGTCCTGTTTCCATGGTGACAGGGGATGCACAGCGCGGATACACACTCTCTGATGTAACGTGACAGATGTTGCGCGTTCACAGATGTTCAGAACTCGTCATCACCAGCGAATCATGACGTCAGTGGAGATACTGATTAGAGTCTGATCTCTGTGTGCTTTAGGTAATCAGTACAACTTAACCTACATGAGCGGCATCTGTGAGTCGATGACGTGCTGTTGTTTTTATTCGCCCCTCAGTTTGTTAAAACAACCAGGAATGCGCTTGGAAGCTCTGTGAGGCACTTGTCTTGTCTGTAAACTACTTTGTGCAAATTATGTTATTTGGTCTAGTCTTTTTTATGTTTCGGATGATAGTTCCCTTTTTAGTAGTTTTATACATACTAGTCACATAGTAGAGGTCTTTAGCACTCTTGTTTATACACACACCTCCCAATGCTTTGAATCCCGCTCTGAGGGGGGCGAGTTGAACGGGAGGGTTTACAATTGGTGCCGTGACCCGAATGGGAGTGAGTCTAGGTCTAGGGGGGTGAGTGTAAACCTCACTCCCTTGTCCTTAAGAGGCACACTGGCGATTGACGCTAGAGACTGCGGTCTTTAGCATCCTTGTTAGTTCACACCCCTCCTAATCTGGAGACGCCGGTTCAAATCCCACATGGAGAGAGATGAGTAGGAACAAAGAGGTTATATTGTAATGGAGGCAAGCTAGTAAGAGATGTGTGGGTAAACCTCACTCCCCTGATCTCCTCAAACCTCACTCCTTCTATGCCAGAGGCGCTGGTTCAAATCACACACGGAGAGAGGGGAGTAGGAACGGAGAGGTTATATTTGGTGCCGTGACCCGGATGGGAGTGAGGTTTAAGGGGGAGATTGTAATGGAGGCAAGCTAGTAAGAGCTGTGTGGGTAAACCTCACTCTCCTGATCTCCTAAAACCTCACTCCCTCTATGCCAGAGACACTGGTTCAAATCGCACATGGAGAGAGATGAGTAGGAATGAAGAGGTTATATTTGGTGCCGTGACCCGAATGGGAGTGAGTCTAGGTCTAAGAGGAAAGTGTAAACCTCACTTTTCCTATGCTAGTTCAAATCACACGGGGAGAGAGGCGATTAGGAATGGAAATGTTATATTTGGTGCCGTGACCCGAATGGGAGTGAGGTTTAGGGGTAGAGTGTAAACCTCACTCCCCTGATCTCTTGAAACCTCACTTCTCCTATGCTGGTTTAAATCCCACACAGAGAGAGGAGAGTAGGAAAGGAGAGGTTATATTTGGTGCCGTGACCCGAATGGGAGTGAGTCTAGGTCTAGGGGGGTGAGTGTAAACCTCACTCCCTTGTCCTTAAGAGGTACGGTGGCGATTGACTCTAGAGACTGCGGTCTTTAGCATCCTTGTTAGTTCACCCCCCTCCTAATCTGGAGACGCCGGTTCAAATCCCACATGGAGAGAGATGAGTAGGATCGGAGAGGTTATATTTGGTGCCGTGACCCGGATGGAGTGAGGTTTAAGGGGGAGAGTGTAACGGAGGCAAGCAAGTAAGAGCTGTGTGGGTAAACCTCACTCCCCTGATCTCCTCAAACCTCACTCCTTCTATGCCAGAGGCGCTGGTTCAAATCACACACGGAGAGAGGGGAGTAGGAACGGAGAGGTTATATTTGGTGCCGTGACCCGGATGGGAGTGAGGTTTAAGGGGGAGATTGTAATGGAGGCAAGCTAGTAAGAGCTGTGTGGGTAAACCTCACTCTCCTGATCTCCTAAAACCTCACTCCCTCTATGCCAGAGACACTGGTTCAAATCGCACATGGAGAGAGATGAGTAGGAATGAAGAGGTTATATTTGGTGCCGTGACCCGAATGGGAGTGAGTCTAGGTCTAAGAGGAAAGTGTAAACCTCACTTTTCCTATGCTAGTTCAAATCACACGGGGAGAGAGGCGATTAGGAATGGAAATGTTATATTTGGTGCCGTGACCCGAATGGGAGTGAGGTTTAGGGGTAGAGTGTAAACCTCACTCCCCTGATCTCTTGAAACCTCACTTCTCCTATGCTGGTTTAAATCCCACACAGAGAGAGGAGAGTAGGAAAGGAGAGGTTATATTTGGTGCCGTGACCCGAATGGGAGTGAGTCTAGGTCTAGGGGGGTGAGTGTAAACCTCACTCCCTTGTCCTTAAGAGGTACGGTGGCGATTGACTCTAGAGACTGCGGTCTTTAGCATCCTTGTTAGTTCACCCCCCTCCTAATCTGGAGACGCCGGTTCAAATCCCACATGGAGAGAGATGAGTAGGATCGGAGAGGTTATATTTGGTGCCGTGACCCGGATGGAGTGAGGTTTAAGGGGGAGAGTGTAACGGAGGCAAGCTAGTAAGAGCTGTGTGGGTAAACCTCACTCCCCTGATCTCCTAAAACCTCACTCCTTCTATGCCAGAGGCGCTGGTTCAAATCACACACAGAGAGAGGGGAGTAGGAACGGAGACGAGAGGTTATATTTGGTGCCGTGACCCGGATGGGAGTGAGTCTAGGTGGACACCACAGACACCTGTTCAAATCCCTCTTATGTCTTGACATATTTACACATTTGTCACAGTCTCTTGCCCTCTAGACGTCAATTGTAAGTGCATTAGTGCAAACCGAGGAAGCACTCAAAGTGATTTTCTGTGGTAATCGACGTCATCTCACGTATTTAAACAGACAATCAGACCTGCTCATATAGATCCAGTGAACCTATAAAGCAAAACTTGTGCTTGTGTTGTTACTCGTTTTTAAGTCGCTTTGTATTAAAGCATCTGCTAAATTAATAAATGTGCAAATAAAACTAATTTCTGAAGCTTTAAACAGTAAACTGTACTAGTACTTCATAGAATCAAGTTTTATAAATGATAACAATGTTCCTACTGATGACAAATAATAGTCCATTTCTCTCAGAAATCGAACAGATAAAACATACTATGGTGTATTTCAACTTCTCTCAGTTGTTCCTCCTAAATCTGTTTAAGAAGAATCATCTCCGTCTTGCTGTATGTTTTGGTGCATTATTAACTTGAGTCTGATCACAGGGAACGTGCTGTAATGCTGTCTCTCTGGATCTGTCTTACCTCGCAGTCGTACAGCAGGTGCAGCTGCCCGTCGATCCACTCCTCGATGTCCAGTCGCCTCTGGAGGTCTTTTCGGTTGTATTTGACCGTTAGTTTGCCCAGTTTGCGTTGGGCAGGCTCCTCCTCTTTGGTCTGAAACATCACTCTGGACTGTGTGCCCGGCTCCGACGCCATGTCTGCCACAACCTCACGAGGACGGGGAGAAGTCCAAGAGGCCACTGTCTCTCTTTCTCTCTCTCTCTCTGTCTGCATCTGTCTCTCTCTCTCTCTCTGTCTGTCTCTCTCTGTCTCAGACTCAAACACAGGGTCCTTCAGTCACAGTCCTGCTGTCATTTGCTCCTCTGACTCTCTATACTGCAGTGTGTTTCTGACTCATGATCGTGTTGTTTCTGTCCATCAGCCTCCTTTAGCTCCTGTCTTCTGTCTGAGCTCTACTAACACTGCCTCTCTCTCTCACTCCCTCCCATACCTCTCTCGCTCTCTCTCTCCCTATCTCTTTGTCTTACTCCCTCCCCTACCTCTCTCTCTCTCTCTCCTTACTCCTTACCCCTCTCTCTCTCGCTCTCTCTCTCTCTCTCGCTCGCTCGCTCCACCCCTCCTACACTCACTGTCTGCTGCTTTTATAGGCTTGAAATGAAGACGTGTTGTCGTTGTGTGTTCATGTGTGTGTTAAGGAGGAACATAGTTCAACTCAGGACTGATAGCATGCAAGATCAGTGTCAGAGGTCAAAACACTTGTTTTAAAGCACTTGTTGCTATTACTGTAATTCATATGCAATGGGATTATTACGTAAAAAAAATTATATTTATTAATTTAGCAGATTAATTTTAATTAATTACATTTTAAAATATATAAATAACTGTATGCTTTTACGTAATAGATAAATATGAGTTCAAAACACATTTGTGTTCTGGGTGGCTGTTATTGATATGAAGTTTCATCCAAGATGTTCTGTGTGGCTTCTAGGGAGTTCCAGGTTGCTAAGCTGTTGCTTGGGTGGTTGCTAGGGGGTTGCTAAGCTGTAAAAAAATCGATATTAGAAAATAACCAATTCCATTTTAAATAAATTAATACATTTTTCAAATAAATAATTAAAAACAATCACAATTTACGGCCTTTTAAAGAAAACATGAGATGTGTTTGTCTGTCAGTGCAAAACTCAATTGTGAATGGTTGCCAGGGTGTTTCTATGCGGTTGATTCGAACATAAGGTTGCTAAGGTTTTCTGACTGGCTGTTACGGTTTTGCTATGTGGTTTCTAGAAAGTTCTGGCTGGTTGCTAGAAGTTGCCGAGCTGTTGTGTTGCTACGGTGTTCTGAATGGTTGTCAGGGTGTTGCTATGCGGTTGCTAGGGTGTTCTCTGTGGTTGTTATGGGTTGCTAAGTGGCTGTTAGTGTGCTAATGTGTGATTTCTAGGGCATTCTGGGTGACTGCTAGGGGGTTGCTACACTGTTTTGGTGGTTGCTAGGGGGTTCCTAAGCTGTCGCCACACTGTTGCTATGCGATTCCATGGGTGTTCTGTGAGATTTCTGGGGAATTTTTTTGTGGATATGTATATGTAATTTTGGAGCACACTTCTTTTGCTGAGACACTTTGCTCCATTATCAGAGGAGGTAATGGAGCTTATACTGTGATATCCTGTGCCAGAAGGAAATGGTAATGGATGTGACTTTGTCCCATTTTGATTAAATGGGGATCAGCAAAGAGCCATATATTTCAAAATTATCTTCTCAATGTCAGTTGTCACTTAACAGATCATAAAATTTTCATTTACCGCTACTGAGATAATTTTCCCGTAAGGCTGATGGAAAAACTTGTTATTAATTGATGTGCAGGCAGGTTGCATACAGTATTTCCAGATTATTACAATAATAAAAAGATTAATCTCATATCAACAGATAACTGTGGAGCTGCAGATGTCCGAAAGTTTAACTGATTTTAACTTGCCGGGAGTGATGTTAACTTGTGTCCACTTGTGTCCACCATCGCAGATTATCCTTATGTTCCCCTGTCAGAAAGCCTCAAACATGCATTTGAAATCAACCATGTCTTTTATAGCTGCCATTATCAGGCGTGTGACTGATAAGGCCTGAAACTAAATGGGCGCACCTTGATAAATGATGAATGAGGAGACGCAGCAATGCAACAGTCTGTAGTGGTTTGGACAGAGCAAAACTTGATATGCGAGAAACACATTTATGATTCCCGCAGCGCATCGTACATTGCTTCAAGCTGTCCAAACAGACTTCTGGGGTGTATTCCCATGTCAAAGTGTACACCTGGCCGGACAATAGGCGAGCTTCGGCTATTCCAAAGATCCGATTTCGATAAAAACAATGACTGCCTCTTTTCCCTTTTGTTTTGTCATGGCATATCAATCAAGTGCAGCTTCGCTGCTTCTCCTGACGATGTGCCGTCTGTTACAAACTCTGAATTATTGAGCAACACGGCAGCTCATCTTTCACAGCCAACAAATTCATTCATCCGAGCCAAGACTCAAAAATAGGGCCAAACAGGGCGCACGTTCCCTAAAACACTCTGCTTTCATGAAGAAGGACAAAGGAAATACATTTTCTGAAGATGGGGTGCTTGTCCACACTCAGTGTTGTGGGTGGTTGGCAGGGCATTGCTGTGCAGTTGATATTGTGGTTTAATAGTGTGTTGTCATTCAGTTGCTAGGGTGTTTTGGATGGTTGCCAGGGTGTTGCTATGCAGTTGCAAATGTATTTTGCGGGTTACATAGTGTGTTGTCATTCAGTTTCCAGGGTGTTATGAATTTTTGCCAGGGTGCCACTATGCAGTTGCATTTTGTATATTGTGGTTTAATAGTGTGTTGTCACTCAGTTAGGGTGTCGTGGATGGTTGTCAGGGCGTTGCTATGCAGTTGCATATGTCTTTTGTGGGTTAATTGTGTATTGACATGCAGTTTTTGGGGTGTTGGGGATTGTTGGCAGGGTGTTGCTATGCAGCTGCATGTGTGTTCTGCAGGTTTAGTGTGTTGCCATTCAGTTGCTAGGGTGTTGTGGATTGTTGCCAGGGTGTTGTTATGCAGCTGCATGTGTGTTGCTATTCAGTTGCTAGGGTGTTGTGGATTGTTGCCAGGGTGTTGCTATGCAGCTGCATGTGTGTTCTGCAGGTTTCGTGTGTTGCCATTCAGTTGCTAGGGTGTTGTGGATCGTTGCCAGGGTGTTGCTATGCAGCTGCATGTGTGTTCTGCAGGTTTAGTGTGTTGCCATTCAGTTGCTAGGGTGTTGTGGATTGTTGCTAGGGTGTTGTTATGCAGCTGCATGTGTGTTGCTATTCAGTTGCTAGGGTGTTGTGGATTGTTGCCAGGGCGTTGCTATGCAGCTGCATGTGTGTTCTGCAGGTTTAGTGTGTTGCCATTCAGTTGCTAGGGTGTTGTGGATCGTTGCCAGGGTGTTGCTATGCAGCTGCATGTGTATTCTGCAGGTTTAGCATGTTGCCATTCAGTTGCTAGGGTGTTGTGGATTGTTGCCAGGGTGTTGTTATGCAGCTGCATGTGTGTTGCTATTCAGTTGCTAGGGTGTTGTGGATCGTTGCCAGGGTGTTGCTATGCAGCTGCATGTGTGTTCTGCAGGTTTAGTGTGTTGCCATTCAGTTGCTAGGGTGTTGTGGATCGTTGCCAGGGTGTTGCTATGCAGCTGCATGTGTATTCTGCAGGTTTAGCATGTTGCCATTCAGTTGCTAGGGTGTTGTGGATTGTTGCCAGGGTGTTGTTATGCAGCTGCATGTGTGTTGCTATTCAGATGCTAGGGTGTTGTGGATCGTTGCCAGGGTGTTGCTATGCAGCTGCATGTGTGTTCTGCAGGTTTAGCATGTTGCCATTCAGTTGCTAGGGTGTTGTGGATTGTTGCCAGGGTGTTGCTATGCAGCTGTGTGTGTGTTCTGCAGTGATCTTTACAATGGAACTGAATAAACAGACACAACAGACATAGACATAACAGTTGCATGTGGGTTCTGAGTGGTTAATACTGCGTTGCTATGCAGTTGCTAAGGTGTTCTGAGAGGATGCTTGTCCAAATGAAAAGGCTCATTAATATAGGTATCTCCTTCAATGCACAATGTGCTTAAAAGAGTTACAGTTTATCAATGATGTAAATGCAAGCTCAGCCTCATCACAGAGTATTTCAGTGCTTACATAAGAAAGCTGAGGTTGATGTGGTGTGTGTGAATGTGTGTGTATCTCTTTGTCTCTTCATGGCATCCGTCCAGCATGAGTCAACAAGAGTTGGCTGTGTTATCAAAGCTCCACATTGTTGTCTCAACACTCGCACAGAGGACGCTGATGACCATATTCAGGAGCTTTATGCATGACTGCCATCTAGTGTGTGTACTGTAGAGCTGTAGATTACATGAGTTTTGGCCTTGAACACTTTTCACATTTTATGCATTTTTATCTAAAGTGACTTGCATTGCATTCAAGGTGTACATTTGGTCAGTTCATGTATTCTCTGGGAGTCAAACTCATGATCTTGGTGCCATGCTCTACTGTTTCAGGAATAAACAAATACACTAGGAACCAAAAACAACAACCAAACACTGAGAGACTAATATCCTCAGTGAAGGCCAGGGGTCACATTTAAAGTTAATTTATTATTTAAGACAAGAGTTCCAAAGGCTTTAGAAAATGATTAAGAGGATTCAGCCTCGAAGTAAATTAGGACTCAGAAAAAACAATGGGGTTTGTTTTGTTTTGTTTTTTTATGCAAAAGTGGTTTCAATACAATATCTATTCTCATTCATAAGCAACAATAAGTGAGTCATAAATCACTTCTCATCTGGTGGCTGTTGATTCCTCCTGAAAACTGTTCATGTTCTTAAACAATTCTTAGACAAAACGTAAAGGACGTCCTTGACCTTTCCCTTTAAGGTTGAGTCAGACAACATCTCTGAAACAGAACAATACATCCACACAGAGCAAACCTTTATTTAACCATATAGCAAAAGTAAATAAACTTGCTTTTAATCACTGTTTTGTGTGTGTGTGTGTGTATTTAAAATTGGACAAGTCTGATAGTATTTTACTGTAACCTGTTATTTAACAGTCGAGATAGATCGTCAATGCTAATCTACGAGCAGTGTTTAAACCCCATGTGCAGGCGGGGCATGTTGTCACACAGCGTTACAATGAGCCCCTATTAGATATCCTATTCTATACTTTTATGAATTCTATGGAGTAAACCATGAGAAAAAGGTGAATAAAGACTGAGAGTCAATGTTTAGAAATTATTAATTATTACTATGTTTTGGATTGTGTTTTGCAATGTGTTTGTTGAAAAACTCAAAAAAGACTTTTTAATTATTAAAAAATGACATTATTTTATATGAAAAAAATTATAAATGTATTTTATTGTCACAAATATTTTGATTGGTTTTGTGTGTTTTTTATTAGATTAGATACCATATTAATCTGTCATATGGTGATGCTACATTATGGGGCATGTTGTCACATTTCACCTCCATT